TCTAACAGGAATTTTTAAAAAGCCTTATTCTCAATCTTGCAAGTTGCTGATCTAGGAAAAGATGTGTGTGTACGTAGACATTTTAGCTGGATTTTGTCCAGAGTTAACACACAAGGACTGGAATCTGAACTGGTAAAACAATAAGCCTTAACAGCCTAAAAGGAATGAAACAGGTGACTTTCTTCAGCACGTCAATAACAAAGAAGAATCCTGGTTTGCAAAGTTACTTTCTAAATTTAAATTGTTCAATTACTCTTTAGGCCCCCCACTTTCTGTTGCTTTGTTTTATTGCAAATATTTTAAATAGTTTTGGAGGCCACCTTGGATCTTACTCTGAGAGAAAGGTGGCATACGGATGAAATACTAACGTAAGTACCGTAATAAGAGCGAGGTTGACAGGCTGCCTGCCTGGTCAGTAAACCACTGTTCTGAAGTAATTGTTTTATAGAGCACACAGTGTACATCTTCAGGCATTAGAATTTACTTTAATAATTAAGGTGGAATGGCACTGAATGAGACTCTGAGTTGTTGTGTGTTTTCTGGGCTGTATGGCCATGTTCCAGAAGCATTTTGTGGCATTTCGCCTGCATCTATGGCAGGCATCCTCAGAGGTTGTGAGGTCTGTTGGAAATTAGGGTTTATATACCTGTGGAATGCCCAAGGAGGGAGAAAGAACGCTTGTCTCTTTGAGGTAGGTATTAATGTAGCAATTGGCCACCTTGATTAGCATTTAATGGCCTAGCAGTTTTTAAGGTCTGGCTTCTTACTGCCTGGGGGAATCCTTTGTTGGGAAGTGATTAGTTGGCCCTGATTTTTCTTGTCTGGATTTCCCCTGTTTTTGAGTGTTGTTCTTTATTTACTGTTATGATTTTTGAGTTTTTAAAATAGCGGTAGCCAGATTTTGTACATTTTCATGGTTTCTTCCATTCCACAGATATATAAACCCCATTTTCCTAGTTTCCCACAGACCTCACAACCTCCGAGGATGCCTCCCATAGATGAATGCGAAATGTCAGGAGAGAATGCTTCTGGAACATGGCCATACAGCCCAGAAAACACCCAACAACCCAGTGATTCCGGCCATGAAAGCCTTCGACAATACAATGACTGTTTTTATTATCTTTGGTCCAAATTATCACACTGGGACAGCCATCTGTTTCATGCTGGCAATTTTGTGGGATGTATACATCAATGGCACTATTGACAAAATGTTAACTATAAAAATTGACTTCACAATCCTGGCAGAAACTGACATCTGTACTGATCATTTAATGCAGTTTCATACTGGTAGTGAAGAAAGTGATTTCACTGTGCATAGGATTACATAGGAAATACTGGAATTTGAGGCTGGGGTGGTGACTGCGCAAATCACAGAGCACTGATTTATTTTATTTTTTTGTAGGAGTTTGGCCACCACAGTTTGAAGCTGGCTTTGAACTACCTGAAATTACCTGTGTAGATGGAGTCTGAGGCTTAATTTGAGAAGGTACTCAACCCTGGAAATTTTCAGTGCTAGATCCTTATATACATGACTACTAAGGAAAATGACTTCTTACTAAAATAATGATTAAATATAGAGGGTCATGCACATTTCGATTTTTTTAAAAAAATAAATTCCAAAAATAACAAAAAAACTGGCTCAGGAAAAGTGATCATGACTCATAACATCCTAAGCAGAACAACTCTATATTTCTTACACATCAGCAGGGTTATTATATTTAGTAACAGCCTAGAAAGAGTTTTCAAATGGCCTTTTTTTTAAAAAAAAAAAGAGAGAGAGAGAGAGAGAGACATATTTGTTATGCCTAGAGTAGTACAGTCTTTTGTCTCCTTGTAGTTTTAATCAACACAGAGAGTGACACAAAGGTTTACATTTAATTACTCCTCTCGGACAAAATAAACCCACTGAATCAATGGTATTTAAGTAAATATTGATTTATACAAGTGTCCTATACATCATATTTTGCCATAGTCTCTTGTTGACAGATAACTTAAACTCAGAATAACTTACACTCAGGATTTCATTTTGTTGAAATAATGCAAGAGCTGTGTGAACTGTGTGGGTCCATTTTTTTCCAAATCTCTTTAGTAGGAGGATAATGCTAAATAACCATCTGTTACAAAAAGAAAACCCCTGCTCATACAACAAAACATGCTTATTGTTGTTTTGACACACAGTTAACACAATATAAGCTTTGTACAAGTAGCAACTATACAGAGAAATCAAGGCATACTATATATGAAAACTAATGAACAAAACAAGAGACAGTATTAGACAGTATAAGAGTGGATTGCATGTATTTTGGTGTTTTATTCTCATAGAAGACTGACTGGCTTCCTATTGTCCAGGTGTGAGAATTGTGCAGCCTTCCAGATATCTTTGGATCACACTCCCAAGCAGACCTAACCAATACAATCTATTGTATGGAAAGCTGGGAGCTGCTGAACAACAGTGAAAGACCTCACAATCTACAGCTCTAGATACAATTTGAATTTCTGCTAACATAAAGTGAAATGAGCCAAGACTCATCCCAAAGGAACTTCAAAGTACTGCTGATAGAAACTATTACCTAGGCTAACCACTCTCTTAATTATGAAATCCATCATATCTGAAAATGGCATTCTATTTAAATGAATGCCTCTCAAAGATCCATTTAAAACAGCAAGGAAAAAGTGTTTTAAAAACCTGATGCCATTTATTTTGAAACAGCTCGTCTTATATAAAATCCATAAGTAATGCAAAACGGGTAGCATAAAAGGCCCTTTGGTAATTTTCAATATGAATGATAACTGCAGAGTGAAATTCAAAACAAAACGTTTTTAGAAAATGTAAACAGCATTAAAATCAATTATAAATGTGCATTTGCACTCAAGAAATCAATGAAGGAGCATTTAACAAAATTCTGGCTTTCATATTTAATTGAATAGTAACAATTAAGTGGAATTTCTAAACAGATACCTTTTTCTTGGGATATAAAATATTTTATCCATAATCACTGAAAAAACTGAACGGTAGATATAACATAGTATAGTTCTTGGCTTTTCACAATTTGTACATTTTTGTCTTTTCACTTATTTCCATCATCCCATTTATTCCAATATGCACGACTTATGCTTTTATATTTAACAAATGTTTGCTACTTGGAGAAAAAAACTTGGATTTTTAAACTAAACCTCTGACAGGCTTTTGCATTCTGATGAAGACTTGGCTTTTAATGCAATGCAAATATTAAACTTTAAAGGATTTTTTAAATAGAGCTAATTTCAATATTTTAATGTTTATTTTAACTTATAAGAATTTGTTTTTAAAATCTTATTTTTATACCGTTAACAACTTTTAGTATGTTATTAGCCACTTTGAGTCTCATTATCAGAAGAAAGGTGGGCTACAACATAAATCATTAGTGTGCTGAGTGCCCTTGCTGGCTAGAGTCGTCTTAGAGCTATAGTTTTGAAATAACAATTTCCAAGCTCTGTTCCCATTTTTGAGAACTCTGATCAATATTGGAGGGAGTTGTCTCAGTTCAGCACCTCTACCTCCACAGCAAGTGTTAGTCTGATATCACCAATTTAGTCAATTGTACATATTATTGGAGCCCCCAGTGGCAAGTGGGTTAAATTGCTGAGCTGCTGAACTTGCTGACCGGAAGATCACCAGTTTGAATTTGAGGAGCACGGTGAGTTCCTGGTGTTAGCCCCAGCTTCTGCCAACCTAGCAATATGAAAACATGCAAATGTAATGGCTCTCCATGCAGTCATGCCGGCCACATTACCTTGGAGGTATCTACAGACAATGCCAGCTCTTTGGCTTAGAAATGGAGATGAGCACCACCCCCCAGAGTCAGACACAACTAGACTTAATGTCAAGGGGAAGCCTTTACCTTTACATATTATCAACTTTATCAAGGGGAATCATCTTGAGTAATACTTAAACACATGTACAATTCTTAATCTAGCATGCCAACATAAATGTCTTTCATGTGAGTGGTTTCAAAAATACCTCTCATACACTTCTCAAGGCATAAGAAATACAGGGTTTACAATCAAGAGTTAAACCAAATGTGCTCTTCTGTTATAGAGAAATAAGTGGACAAAGAAATCTGAAACTGAGTCATTCATATGTCCTCTGCATATTACGTTTACTCAAGTCTATTGCGCCATCAAATCTAATGCACACTTCAATTTTCAAAACCCCGAACCCAAAAAAAGGGATTTGCTGCCAAATTTAATGTGCTGTGGCAAAAAGTGCACTTTTTGAAATTTGACCAAAAAAGTGTGCATTACAGTTGCTGCATGCTTACAGTTACTTCTTTAAAAACAAAAGTGGAAGAACACCAATGCTTCCAACAGTGGAAAAGAAAACCTTGGGATGCATCTATGCAGTAGAAAGAATGCACTTTAATTGCCTTGGTTCAATCCTATGGAATCATGAATGGTCGTCTGAGAAATGTAGCATCTTTGGTTGCAGAGGCCTTTTAGCTTCAGCCTAAAGAGAAGCAACCCAAAAAAGAAATGGAGGAGAAAGGAAATGTCTTCCTTGTTTTAACTGATTATCAGATACAAGGCACAGCAGAAAACCACTTTTTACACTTTTGTAGGTCTGAGTGGGAGTCTGTCTGAAGGGATTTTTCCCTATGAGAAGTAGAGCAAGATCTGTTTTGTGTACATAAAGATTTCTCTCACAAAGGGATTCATATGAAATGAATGTACATTAGATTATTCAATTATTTTTTGCAAATTTAATCTGAATTATGAAATATGCTAAAATAATTTAATTTAAAAAGATATCCTGTATTATAATGACAGAGTTGCAGTTCAATCTGGAGGTTCTATAATCCTTCATACTGACTTCTATATAATGGGCAGCTTTTCATTTCTAGTGTTGTGCTGGTCTTGTCTTCTCCCTGGCATAGAAAGCCACCAGAAGAGCTCCATATGTACACTGAAAGAGACGTAGATCTGAGTAGGAGTCTTACAACATGAAGGGGCCAGGATATTGTGTTGATTTGCCATTTTCCCTTCAAGCTCCACACCTCCCTACAGAAGAGCCCATAACTTCAATTTGCATTGACTGCATAACTTCAGTTTGTATTGCATTCTTCTAAATTATCGTTTTCTTCAGATGTTGTGGAATGTGAATTCGTAGACATACAATCTAGAGTTCTGCTGGAACACGTGTTAGAAACAGAACAAGAGCCATCTTCAACAGTATATGTTTGGCAACAGGAACACAAAGGAATAGCCACCTCTTGGGGCTTTGAATCGTTTCCACATTGACTGCTTCGAAGAGGAAGCTCTTCTGAAAGTTTCTTTGCTTTATTCTGTGAACCATTTTCTTTCTTTTCCAATGTACGAGCCAGCATATAGCTAACTTTCCTTTGATGGGCCAAAATTTCTTCTTTGTCATTCAACTGTATAATCAAGTACAGACATACAATTAGAAGAGGAACTATTCCACAGTATAAAAAACACAGCAATGTATATAATTCGGTTCAGGCATGAAATACAGTTAGTACATTCTCTCTAAAGCCACAAAAGAGATACCCACCAAGTCTATTAACATTCTGATGATCTCATGGGGATTGTCCAGTTCTTCCAGTTTCTTACTGTCGGTGCCTGATATAAGCATGCCCTTCAACCTTTCTCCCAAGCTTTTCTTAATTCCTTGAGATCTGAAAGCACCTGGAAGGGGAAAGTACAGATATTTAAACCCTGTATGGGACTTCATAGGGGCTCCCAGTGGCTCAGTGGGTTAAACCGCTGAGCTGCAGAACTTGCTGACTGAAAGGTCGGTGGTTAGAATCCAAGGAGTGGGGTGAGCACCAACTGTTAGCCCCAGCTTCTGCCAACCTAGCAGTTCAAAAACATGCAAATGTGAGTAGATCAATAATGCTTTGGCGGGAAGGTAATGGCACTCCATGCAGTCATGCTGGCCATATGACCTTGGAGGTGTCTACAGACAACGCCGGCTCTTCAGCTTAGAATTGGAGATGAGCATCACTCCCCAGAGTTGGACATGACTAGACTTAATATCAAAGGGAAACCTTTACCTTGCACCTTACTCACTAACTCTATCCTCTAATGCTGTGGCACCAGTCCGCCCACCCATATAATAAGTACAAACAAATTGATAACAAAGAGGAGAAAAAAATGTAACTGAGAGTTGCATCTATGAGACATTATTTGAGAAATCAGAAGATTAGAAAAACAAAGCTTATCTATAATATAGGATGCTGTCTCTATTAAACTAAGAGAAAATGAAAAAAATGGCTCTCGGGGATTTTGCCCTCCCATTCTGACTACTTTGTTAAAAGGGCAGAAAGTGTGCTGACAGCTCATGAGGAAAAATTTACTAGATGTGTGATTAGCCCCCTTTCCTCCCTTCACTGGATATATGCAAATACAGGCATTCTGAAGTCCTTCAAAAATCTGATATACTTCAGTCCCAAGCATTTCAAATAAGGAGACTCAACTTGTATCTACATTAAGCATTTAAATCATTGAATGGCTGTATCAACAACTACATCTTCTTAAAAGTAATAACTGTTTTTCACATTCTAGTTTATTTTGAATATTATTCAGACTAACATAGGACAGAGAATATTACCATCCTCCTTGATGTGTTTCCAGTTTAATGATTTCGTTTCTTTTCTGCAGCTCTTACTCATCTGTGCAAGCCTCAGAGCCTGATCCTTCCTCCGCATCAGCTGCTGCTCAAACGCAATTCGGAAAGCATCTGCCATTATATAAGCCTCTTCTTTGCTCTTCTTCAGAAGTTCAAACTGTTGTTTTTAATTGAGAGATGGTAGACTATTTTTTAAAAGGTGAAATTCACATATTTATCTAATTACAGTAAATTGGCATGATGAATGAATCCTCATCTCAAAAAGATTAATAAACAGTCAGAAAATTCTGACTGCAAGAAAGGATAGCATTTATAGGTAGGGATTACAACATCACAGGGTGTATGCAGCTCATTGCTGCCATTTTTGTGAACTCCAAGTGCCTCATTACTCCACGCTTGTGGCAACAAAAACCCCCCCATAAAAATGTACCTCTTCTCCTCTAAAACAAGCTATCTCGCCCTCATTATTTTTGTGAAATGACCTGGCCACCTCTAGTTTTACCAATTGATCTGATGTATGGAAAATGTCCCCTGCACTCTTGTTCCAATATATTCACTACAAGATTGAACACTTATTTTTAAAAACTTCTGGTAACATAAAAACATCTTGGGCCATAAGCTATGTTACCTTCTGATAGGCACATCCTATCACTCTGGATAAAACAGTCTTAACTGAATCCAAGATGGAAGTAAGGAAAATGTTAATAGATTGATACACAAAGCCTGAGTCCTGTGGTTAGTTCTGACCAGAGGACACCAACTAGATGATTGGGATCTATCCAAGTGCTGACTCACAATTCAATTATTGATTCTGTTGGTTTACTATATTGAAGCCTATATAACCCGTGCCCCCCTCCTATGGCAGAAGATGGAGATAAGAGTTGCTTTTACTGTTTGTATTGTGTCAGGATGTAAAACAGTCATGGGCAAACTTCACCCCCCCATGTGTTTTGGACTTTAATTCCCAGTTTACTGGCTGTTATGACTGTGGGAGTCCAAAACACCTGGAGGGCTGAAGTTTGCCCATGCCTGATGATGGGGTGCAGGAGTTCCTCTCAACATAAACACTGCCAATTATAGAATGCTGAAGTTAATCTGCATTTTTAACCCCACACAATGAGAGTTATTATTCCTATTTTAATTGTTATGGCTGCATCATGGAATCCTAGGGTTTGTTTGGTGAGGCAGGAGAACATGCTCGTTGAAACATTTAAATATCTTTGTCTCCAGTGCAGATTCTAGGGGTCTATAGGAGAAGCCATGGCAGTTATTTTGGAAATACAGCGCAAAAACTGTGCAGTGTGTGCAGAAAACGAATGGAAATAAATTGCATTGAATTTAATCTGAGGAATGTCCTCCATCAAAGCCAGAGCCTCTGGACCCAACCTGCTTGTCTTCATACAATAGCATTTTACAAACCTTTTTACATACACACTACTTATGTGCATACTCTTATGACATGTTTGAAATATCTCAGTATAAGAACGAAAAATTAGTCATCATATCAGATGCCTAGCCACTGTATTTTAAATCTTGTGACATTTAAAACAATTTCTCACAAGGCATCTGATTTCCACATCTTCGTAACATGACAAAACAAAACTGCTTTCAAGCCAAACTTAAATACCTCTTTGTTAAGTTGAAGAAGTTTTTTTCGGGTTGCAGCTGACATCTTAGCACATGAACATGGCTCTCCCTCAGGACCATTACAAGTGCAGGCTCCAAGTACTGCCATCTTCAAATTCAAATGCATTCCATTTTAAAATCAAGCTTTTTGACCAAAATAATTACACTGAATCTTATCTAAGTGGACACATATATCTTAACATAATTTATGTAAGTTGCATCTATCTGGAATAACCCTTTAATGCATAGACTTATGCTACATACAATTCATAAGTTTATTTTTAGATCTAAATAATCCTTAAAATCACCATAAAGAATACTGTATCATGTATCATATGCTGACTTCTTCCCCAGAACTGAAACTCTGGCAACTAACAAAATTAAAGTACAAACAGTGGCCCATGGTATCTCCTGAGGTTTGGTTCCAGAACACCCATTACTGTCCCATGGATATCAAAATGCAGGGATGCTCAAGTGCAGTTACATACAATAACAATAGTAAAATGATGTCTCTTATATAAAATCATAAAGTCAACGTTTGCTTTTGGGATTATTAAAAATATTTTTTCAACCATTGATGGCTGAATTTGGGTATACAGGAACTGACTTTACAATATAAATAAAAACATACAGAAGACATGTTGAGCCCCTGTTGGTGCAGTGAATTAAACCCTTGTGCCGGCAGGATTGAAGAACAACAGGTCGGAGGTTCTAATCCAGGGAGAGCACGGATGAGCTCCCTCTGTCAGCCTTGGCTCCCCATGCGGGGACATGAGAGAAGCCTCCCACAAGGTTGGTAAAACATCAAAATATCCAGGCGTCCCCTGGACAACATCCTTGCAGACGGCCAATTTTCTCACACCAGAAGCAACTTACAGTTTCTCAAGTCACTCCTGACTCGAAAAAAAGATATTATGTAAGGCTTTGTAGATTATAAGTAGCATTTTACATTGTGGCCCAAAAGAGACTACTAGCTAATGGAGATGTTTCAACAAGGTGGTTGCATGGTCCACATATTCAGCCATAGTCAACAGTCTGGCTGCACCTTTCTCAGTCACATTAAGCTTCTTAACACCTTTCAAAGACAGCCTTACGTAGAGCACATTACTGTTAGCCAAAGAGATGTAACTAGTGCATCTGTCACCTTAGCTAGATCTGAACTCTCCAGGAACAGGGTGCAATTGCTTGAACCAGATACATTCCTGGCCACCTTGGAAGTTCAACTCACAATGAACAGTTAATCCCAAAGAGACAATGACGTGTAATTTTAGCTGTTATTATGACTGTTCTTATCCAATTAACCACAAAAATACCAACTGAAGAAATAAATACATACTTCAAGTCCTGTAATCTCTGTAAGACCACTCTTGCTAAGGGACAGATTCTCCTGAACAATCTTCTGTTGCTTAACATCAAGCATTGCAAGAATCTCCAAATGTTGTTGATCCAAAACTATAAGATTCAATATTAGAGGAAATAATCTGTCAAACTGTCTCTTGCTTATAGTCTTACACAGCAGCTTTCTCATTTGCTATTTTTTTTATCTAACACGTCTAGAAATTTTGAAAGAAAATAAATCATTACTTTGCATTACTAGGTTTTCCTAAAACCTGGGCCAAGTTTTATTCAGATTTCAGATAATCAGTCAATTAAAAATTTGTGAAAATTGGATTTCAACCTAAACAACTTCTAGTATTACAAATCCTATCAGCACCTCAACATCATATTAAAAAGGGTACTTTGCATCCAAAATACCACAACCTTTTCTTCTAAATATGAATACATACCAGAATGTGTTTTCCAATATAAGAATCTGAGCCAACATAAAATTTTGCACCTTAGAAAGTTAACTAAGATGATTCCCAATAATTAATAAACATTCTACTTCTTCATCTAAGATCAAACCCTACCATAAACCTTTTACTTAAGAAAAAATGAGAAAGCAGTTTGCTCACTTTCTTTTTCAGACTTCAGTGATTTAATTTCTTCTGTTTTCAATTTAAGTGTTTCTTTAAGTGCCGCATTTTCACAATATATGCTGTTAGCAATAGAAAATAATATGCTTTAATCACACCTTACAAATATGCTTCACATTTCATCCAGTAATAAAATGTATTTATAAAGAAGTACCTGTCATATTTTTCTGCCCAAGCCTCCTCGATATTTTTAAATTTCTCCTGGTTAATTTTCATTTCCCACTGTAGAACATTTATTTCCTAAACATAAAAGATGTAATTATAAGGTATATAAAATATTCCAAAATAAAACAATCTGAAATCTAAAACATTTTCTAAAAGTTACTCAATCTGTACTTCAAATAGAAGCACTTAAACAGTTTCCCCTGAAGCCAGTCACTTGATTGAACATGCAAACTGCTAGTCAACTGGTCAGTTGAGTGTGTCCTATGCCATTTATAACTGCAGTTCAAGATTCCCATATGAATGCCTTATCTTTTAAAACATACTATCCATTTTGTACTATTTGATTTCTTTTAAAAGATTAATTCAGTGATTTTCAAAAAACAATAATAAAAGAAAACACATCTAAAAAGAAAATTTGGACAGCATACATTTGGAGAAAAAATAAGGATATATGCTTACCTTTTCTAAAGCTTTCTTTTGCTCTTCTGTTTTTTTGAAAATTGCTTTAGTATGACTAGTGGCTTTATCCAACACGGCCTGAAAAGTATGTAGAATACAAAGCTGAAAGATTTTCTCTCTACAAATAATATATTTTTTAAATTAACTACTGCATTATCAATTAGAAAAAAATCAAAAGATTTTTGCTTTACGCTTTGATAGTATAATTACCTTAAAAGTCAAAATCCCGGTATATATGTGTGTTTATTGGTTTGTCTGTATCAAGAAGGCTCCTACATGGCTTGATGTATCTGGACCAAGCTTCACACACATACCTTTCATTACTTAAAATAATTGTGGGGTTTATACTACACATTCCACCCATTTTGGGGAAAACTCTCCAAAAACAGTAGAAAAAAGCAGTATATAAATAGAAAGGATTATCTATTGGATCAACATGTTTACAGTACAACTTTGGACTTAATCTGAATATGTTTTTGATCTGATATGTCAACTTGCAAGATTATATTACTTTACTTGAAAAGTTAGAATGCAGTAATATAAAACGAACAGTGCTTTTGATCCTGCAGAAATTGAGAACATCTGTTGAACTTACATAACATGTGGACAATTTGAAAAGTGTGTCATTATATCTACTCCACATAAATTCAGTTGTATTTAAAAACAAGCCCATCTTTTTTGACATTACCATGCTCTGCAGAAGTTTTAAGGCTTGCTCTTTGCCTTCAAGTTGTCTTTGAGATGCTTCCAACTCAACTCTTAAAATTTCTACTTCCTAGAAAGAAAGAATTCAAATTGGGTGAATGGAAACTTTGTTTAAGATAAAACAAACTCTTTACATCTGCTACTGCTTTTAAATGAGGTGTCTCTATAGTAGTTGGGACTCTCTGTGTCAGCAAGGCAGAGGGTCCCATGTGAATTTTAGTTTGTGATTTAAATAAGATATACAGGGTACTGAATCCTATCCCACAAAGAGGCATTCTCTCTGCATGTTGTTCATCATTCCAAGTAGGACAATGAACATGGGAAAGAACTAACAGCGCCTCCAAGTGCACCTAGCCCACAATATAATATGGTACTAAAAAAACCAACCTACTATATACTTGACCCTCCCCTTTTTTTAAACAGGCTAAGACTCATTAAAAAGAGAAAGGGGGAAATCTAAATTAAAACTTGAAAAGAATGGCACCTACCTCCACAACTTCTTGAAGCTGCTGCTTTAATTCTTCATTTGATGCTTCGGAATTAGACTCTATGCATTCACAGTTGGAAAAAAAAAAGATCTTAAAATATCTGCCGTCATGTTTTCATATGATATGGTAGAATAATTTATATTAAATTAATATTAGTCTCCAGATGCCTATTGGTAGTCTAAAGCCTTGATAAATATTATATGATTCTGTAAAAAGCTCAATGTAGTTCAGCTTAGACATTGAACTGAATGGCCTTCAAGGGTTATAAAACAAACACAAATATCTATAATATATTGGTATTCAAAAGTTAGAAGAAAACAAGACATAATTCAACACATACTTGTTCTCTTTGAACTTTTCAACTTTAATTTGTTGTTGAATACCTTTGCTTACATTGCAGCTCCTCAATAAGCCCGTTCAGTTCAATACAAGGGTTGAAAAACTTTGGACTTTTAACAGAATGGAATACTTCTCAAGGCTTTCAACAGAGCAAAATATAGACCATCAATAAGCTCAGAGACTGATGTCTTTATTTGTGGATTATAATGTGTGCTTTTCAATAACTCTTTTTGAAGAAAAGTTACAAAGTTAAACATAAAATATAACAATTACACTTTAAAGTTTACTTACTTACTTAGGCGACTTACTTCTATTATTTTGTTTGTGACTGATATGATTACTATTAACTGTTTTGTAAGAAATCTCTTTGCCTACCTTTAAAACAAAAACAAAAAATAAGGTATGTGCAAGAAGAAGAAGTTGTTATTTGCCTCTCCTCATGGCGCAAGGAGGAGAACAACTTTGTTAAAATACATAAAGGACCATAAATGGACATACATTAAAATACATAAAAGAATGATTAAAACACAAATACTAATAAAATGTAAATTTAAAATTCACAGTTTAAAATTCACTGGGGAGATGGAAAATCGAGATTTCAATATTTTTTGGAATAACTGAAGAAAAGTCAGGATTCATCAGTATGTAAAGAAAAAAATACAGCATAACATGTATTCAGCTTCACAAAAAAGGAAATATTAAAAATAGTACATTTCAAAATAACGTCCTATGAAACATGCATAACCACAGCCCATACAGAACTTCAGCCTTCCCATTATTCTGCAGGGATGAGGACGCTGTGTTTTCCTAGGAATATCAAATGACATTTGTTTCTGGGAAAATTAGACTTACCCAAAACATAAATACAAAAGATGTTTATGTTGTGCGAAAACAACCAAAAGCCTTGCCTATTCTGTGACCAATAATATAGTTATCTGGCTAAATCCATTAGATATTATTTAAGTGATACATTTCTGTACACTAAAGGTTGAAGAGGTCAATGGGACTGCATTAATCCTCACTGTGCGTAGGATGCTCTCAGAAAACATGTGGCTCTCCAGATGTTGCAAGATTGCAATGCCCAGCACTCCTAACCATTAACTGTACAGTCTAAATCTGCTGAAGGCTCTACTTTAACGACATCTGGAAATTTGCATTATTCCCAAATAATTCAGTTTCCTAGCTAGGGCATTTTGGTAGAAGACTGTAATAATCAAGTAGCCAAGAACTAAGAAAAATTTAGTATTACTGACTAATGTGCTGGTTTGTTGGCAATATATTAACCCTTAAATACAGTCTCCTCTCTTATAACTGTTCACAACATTACATTTTTTACAAATTATGAAAAAATATTTACACTGAGATTTTTTGTGTTAAATGAATATGTACTTTTAACTGAAATGCTTTCTTACATCTCAAATAGTTGCAATTATGTAGGTGGGCAAACATATACATAAACTGGTGTAAGAACAAATATTGCGGCAGGAACCAACTGTCATAGTCTCTGTTTAAGAAAACAAAGTAATTTATTTTAAGCCTAGACTACACGCATTTGGGTAAGCAACACCCCTAAAATATATTTTGTATTGCTTATGTTTTTGCTATGAACTCCAACGTCTGAACAGTACAATTTAATACAGCGGTGGACTATACTTGGTCTTCCAGATATTGTTTTGGACTGCAGCTCCTATCCGCCATAGCCTGATGAAAATTATATTCCAACATCTGGAGGTCCACAGGCTCCCATCTCTAGTAGATCTGACAACTTGGGAGTCAGCATTTTAAAACAATACTTAGTTCAATAAAAATGATCTCTGAATTTGCTCAGTATCAATTGCTCTGGAAGATATTATTTACTAACTTCGATGCTGGGGATGTATGACCTTAACAGAAACATATGCAATTTTAGGAAGAATGCTGAAGTGTATGGGATCAGTGTGGATTCAGATAACTCAGAGCCCTTCCACACAGCCATATAACCCAGAATCTTAAGACAAAAAATCCCACAAAGTATGCTTTGAATTGGGTTATCTGAGTCCACACTGCCATATATTCCAGTTCAAAGCAGATAATACAAGATTTTATTTAGTTGTGTTGAAGGGGTCCCAGTTAAAAGCAGATATCGTGGGATTTTCTGCTTTGATATTCTGGGTTATATGGCTGTGTGGAAGGGTCCCAAGTCTGAGGTTAATTTAACAACTTACCAGAACTGTTTTGTCGACTGTAGGTTCGAAATTCATTCATTCCACATTTCTTGACAGGCATGTCACTCAAACTGTTACACCTTGAACAACGAAGAACTTGAACATCAGAGTCTTCTTTCTTAACCAACATTAACGGGCTGACACTTTTCCCTGCTGAACATCTTCTAGGCTTAATTGCATGTGCACTGAAGCCTTCAGGTTCGTATAGACCACAATGTCTTTTAACAAGTCCATTTCCTAAGTCTCCACATGTCATGTCATCTTCATCCTCCAAGGTCTCTCCAACGTTGTTCAGTGATAAGGCTGCTTCACCCATTGGCAACATATCCTATTCCTGTCCCAACCTGGATATACCTTCTTCCCTAAATAATTAAGGTCGTGCTAAAAATAAATTGATAAAAATAATAAGTAATAAATAACAAACATTCTAAATGTCTTCTAGTTCTTTAACATTAATTTCCAGAATTTTTAGACTGCAACAAATGTGCTTTTATACTTTTACACTATGGTTCTTCCAAATTAGTTCAGTATTAGATATATGCAACATTTTCTAGTAAAGTAAATGTAGATTTTTAGTACTACTAAAGTGAAAACAAAAGCTATTTCATTTTCAAAATAAGCTTACAAGAACATCAATGTGTACCATAATCTTGTGCTGTGCTGGCAGAAACACTAACACACCCAGCCACTTTGTTTACTTTCAAATGCAGTAAAAAGAGCACATTGTTTAACATACCATTCACCAGGTGCAGAAGTAATAACAAGAGCTACACAGAATCTTATTTAGAGTATAATTCATCCATATTTCACTCCATTACAACTTTCCTAGTTTGCGTTCTTAGAATTCAGTCATGAATCAGGTCCTCACAGAAAATTTAGGATCAGGATTTTTTCTCATTAATATTAGATGAAATTGCAAGATATGCAGTCAGTTGTTTATGTAATCAGGTCTAATATGCTGTACTAAATTATTATTGTTGTTGAGTTTTGAGAAAAGAGAAATTAAATCTGTATTTCTTCCCATTGGAGATAAAACCACAATGCAAATACATCCTTTGGCCTAAATCCAATTGTTATCCTCAATGATAATCAATTTGCATTAACTAAACATCCAGGATTGTTGACATACCATGTTCCCTTGGATTCAGTGGATCTACTCTGACTGAGGGTATAATTCTACACTGTATAATCCTGGGAGTTGTAGTTTGGGGAGGCACTAGCACTCTTTGACAGAGAAGGCTAAAGACCTTGTAAAAATGATACCCTAGCACTGAGGGATGGCAGTTAAAGTGTGGCTGCAACCTGAGAAAATAATTGGGCCTAGCTTTCTGATTTATTTCTCTGCTTTAGAAAATTACAGCATCAATTAAACCAATATGAAACTTTTATTTTAAATTTCATTTATTTCAGTTTGAAAGAGCAAGACCTATGTTTAATTCTTCCACTGAAGTAAAAGGGCAATTATATTCACACTTACCTGATAATAGGTAACTGCATTCAATCAGAATTTATTTTGCGATGACACATGTCGCTTAATTCTGTAGTATTACTGAAATTTACATACATCTAACAATTTCTCAGAGATCTGTTTGAAATATGACCCTATTGTTTCATTTCAAAAATAAACCTTTGAATTCTGAATCTTAGAGAAAAGGAAAGGGCGCATCTTTGCTCCAAAAAAAGGATTCCTTCTATTTGAACCCTCTCTCGTCCGTTCTGTAAATTTTCATCATCAATCCAGCCATTATTGACTGCCAGACAATCACAGGTGAATATTTTAAGTGAAAAATTTATTTTTCTGGTTTTATATAAATATCAATACATGGGCCAATGGCATGGATATAACTCTATATAGAGCCACTTTGTGGTAATCTTCCCTTTAGTCTACAAATTACATTAAAAGTCAGTTCCCATGAAGACACCAGATCCTGTCTGATCTTGGAAACGAAGCAGGGTTAGCTGTGTTTTGTACTTGGATGGCAGACTGTCAATGAGTGCCACAGGATATAGGTTATATTTTAGAGGAAGGATGTGGTGAAACCGTCTCTTGTATATTCCTTGCCTAAGGAAACTATAGAAGTGTTGCCATGTCATAAGCCACTTGAAGGCACATGTATAATAGAGTCTCGCTTATCCAACATAAATGGGCCAGCAGAACGTTGGACAAACAAAAATGTTGGATAATATGGAGGGATTAGGGAAAAGTTTATTAAATGTTATAATTTTACAAATTAAGTACCAAAGCATCATGTTTTACAACAAATCGACAGAAAAAAACAGTTCAATACATGGTAATGGTATGTAGTAATTACTCCATTTCCGAATTTAGCACCAAAATATCGCAATGTATTGAAACAGCTGTTGATCCAGGCGGGAGGCAGACTGTGCTGGAAAATACAGAATGTTGGATAAGCGAAGGTTGGATAAGTGAGACTCTACTGTACCCACAAAATGTATAGGTTCAACTACTAAAGAATGAGATTATAATTTAGCAAGCATTACACATGTAACATCAGAACTATGGTGCAGCTAGCTGGGTATCAGCTGCATTAAGATCACTACTGACCGAAAGGTCATGAGTTCGAAGCCAGCCCGGGTCGGAGTGAGCTTCCAGCCAATTTGTGTAGCTTGTTGTCGACCTTTGCAACCTGAAAGACGGTTGCATCTCTCAAGTAGGAAATTTAGGTACCACCTATGTGTGGGGAGGCTAATTTAACAAATTTATGAGGCCATAAAAAATCTCCAGCAAAAAAGCATGCAGGGAATGCGGAAAGTACTTCATCAGTGTCGCAGATGGATGGTGAATCAACAGCTCCCCTGGTGGCCAGAAAATTGGAATGTTAAATAGCCTCTAGCTGTCTGTCTATATGTGTTGTGTGTCTATGGCATTGAATGTTTGCCATATATGTGTACATTGTAATCCGCCCTGAGTCCCCTGCGGGGTGAGAAGGGTGGAATATAAATACTGTAAATAAATAAATAAATAAATAACAGCACTTCACTCACTCCTCATTAGAATATTGCTCTCATACAAAATAATCATATAAATAATGTACAAAATTTTAAAAACCCTCCTATTTATTAACCTGCAATCCAGTGTGGTGGAGTGGTTTAAGCACTGGACTATGGGTGCTAACACAATATAGAAGTCATGCAGTTTGATCCCACTTTAACACAGCTCATTGCTATTGAATGATGCCGTTATAGTTTAACAAGGTCTGTTGCCACCTCTGTCAAAGAATATGATGCCTTATGCAACTACAACTCCCATGATTTCATTGCACAGAGCCATGACAGTTAAAATGGTGCCAAACCGCATTTAATTTACAGTATATAGATCAGGCATGGGCAAACTTTGGCCACCCAGGTGCTTTGGACTTAACTCCTGCAATACCTAACAGCTGGTGGAGTTGAAGTCCTAAACACCTGGAGGGCCAAAGTTTGCCTGTGCCTGATATAGATGCATTCTATGACTCTAGAAATCAAAGTTTGGATCCCACGGTGTCACTCTCTCAGCTGCAGTGGAACGAATCTTGCCAAGAAAACCAAGTTACATTACCATAAGTCAGCATACAACGGGCAGAAAGTTGTCTTAACATTTGATAAACTGGAAAGTTAATATCACCAAGTCATTTGTGTAAACAATCATTAATGCTTATATTAGGATTCCATAAAGCATTTAACACAAACCCTTTGTCAACAGCACCTACGTCAAGAAGCGGATTTCATGCGCTCAGACTCCAGAGCTGCACTTCCATGTATCTGAAATGCTGGGGGGGAATCAACAGCTGAAGTGTTGCAATGCCCATCTGTCTTGGATGGACAAGGTTTTGCCCATTTTCCTTGCAGAACAAACCCATAAAGTCCCCAAGGTATGTGTGTGTGTATTCCCTACCCCTTATCATGTCTGATGTTGCTATGAATGGTGCATTTATACTGTTGAGTAGGCATGGGCAAACTTGGGCCCTCCAGGTGTTTTGGACTTCAACTCCCACAACTCCTAACAGCCGGAGTTGCAGTCCAAAACACCTGGAGGGCCCAAATTCATCCATGCCTGCTCTACAGTATAAATGCACCATTCATAGCAACATCAGACAGGTAGGCTGTTAGGAATTGTGGGAGCTAAAGTCCAAAACACCTGGAGGGCCCAAATTCAACCATGCCTGCTCTACAGTATAAATGCACCATTCAAAGCAACATCAGACAGGTAGACTGTTAGGAATTGTGGGAGCTGAAATCCAAAACACCTGGAGGGCCCAAGTTTGCCCATGCCTACTGTAGAATGTATGCGGGTTGACATCACTTTAATTGCCATGGCTCAACACTGGGATTTGTAGTGTAGCGAGGTACCTGCTCTCTGGTAGAGATGTCTACGTCACGTCTCATGGTTTCACAGCACTGTCAAGGACTGCATTAAATAATTCTACAATAACCCAGTACTATGGGAGCCCTGGGAGTTGTAGTTTACTGAGCACCGGTTCTCTTTGGCAGAGAAGGCTCAAGGCCTCCTGAAACTACAACTTGCGGGATTCCTCTAGCATTGAGCCATGGCAGCAAAAGTGGTGCCAGACTACATTGCTTCTTCAGTGCTAGGCCTCCTTCCCCACCTGGCTTACCTAGGAACTCGCTCAGGCCCGGCTCATGAGGCCCTTTTCTGCCTAGGCCGCTTCCTCCTTCTGTAGCTCAGTTCCCTTTTGCCTAGCCAGGCCTCCTGCCTGGTCCCTCCCTCCTTCCCGCCCCGAGGAGAGAGAAACACACCCCCAGGCCTCAAGCACACAGCTAGGCCTCTCCCCATGTTTGAGAGCAGAATGAGGAAGTTTGCTCACAAACCTGAAAAGAAGTGCCAAACAGTTCCACTGTTTACTTAATACAATTTATGCTGTAGTTTTACAGGGTTTTTTGCCACCTCTGCCAAAGAGTACAGGTGCTTTACTAAACTACACATCCCAGGATCCTATAGCATTGAGCCAGGGCAGCTCAAGTGGTGCCAAACTGCATTCATTCTAGCAAACTTGGGCCCTCCCTCTAGGTGTTTTGGACTTCAACTCCACAATTCCGAATTGTGGGAGTTGAAGTCCAATACATCTGGAGGGAGGGCCCAAGTTTGCCCGTGCCTGCAAGCACTGTGCTTATTTTGCTTAATTGTTAATCCAGAACTGAGTCCGTTTTTTGTTTTTCCGTGTCAGGAGCTACTTGAGAAACTGCAAGTTGCTTCTGATGTGAGAGAATTTCTGTCTCCTGTGACATCAGAGCCCCTTCCCCAGGAACAATATATTATATAATACTAATAATATGAATGATGTATTAGTACTATGCTAATAATATAGTATGTTTTATGTACATATGACTTGTAAGCCTCTGAGTCCCCTTCGGGGCGAGATGGGAGGCATATAGAATCATAGAATCATAAAATCAAAGAGTTGGAAGAGACCTCATGGGCCATCCAGTCCAACCCCCTGCCAAGAAGCAGGAATATTGCATTCAAATCACCCCTGACAGATGGCCATCCAGCCTCTGCTTAAAAGCTTCCAAAGAAGGAGCCTCCACCACACTCCGTGGCAGAGAGTTCCACTGCTGAACGGCTCTCACAGTCAGGAAGTTCTTCCTCATGTTCAGATGGAATCTCCTCTCTTGTAGTTTGAAGCCATTGTTCCGCGTCCTAGTCTCCAAGGAAGCAGAAAACAAGCTTGCTCCCTCCTCCCTGTGGCTTCCTCTCACCTATTTATACATGGCTACCATATCTCCTCTCAGCCTTCTCTTCTTCAGGCTAAACATGCCCAGCTCCTTAAGCCGCTCCTCATAGGGCTTGTTCTCCAGACCCTTGATCATTTTAGTCACCCTCCTCTGGACACATTCCAGCTTGTCAATATCTCTCTTGAATTGTGGTGCCCAGAATTGGACACAATATTCCAGATGTGGTCTAACCAAAGCAGAATAGAGGGGTAGCATTACTTCCTTAGGTCTAGACACTATGCTCCTATTGATGCAGAAATAAATAAATAAAATTGGCTGTCTCCAAGGACGTTGCCCAGGGGACGCCAAGATGTTTTTTGATATTTTACCATCTTTTGTGGGAAGCTTCTCTCATGTCCCCGCATAGGGAGCCGGAGCTGACAGAGGGAGCTCATCCACGCTCTCCCCGGATTCGAATCTTCAGTCCTGCTGGCACAAGCGTTCAACCCACCGCGCCACCAGGTGAGCAGGGCCATATGTAGTAAACAATAAAATGGCAACAGAGTTCTTCAAAAGCAACACATTGAATCCATCCTTTACCCACCTTTGATAGTTTAACTTCTGTGAAAGGGCAATGGCTGAAACTATATCCAAGCAGCCTCTAAAGCAAAGTCCTTTCAAGGCTCTCCAATACTGTGCAATTTTGAGTTGTGCAGCAGCCAACAGAATTGAGATCAGCTGTATACAGTCTACGTTAGCACTGGGGCCTTATGAAATTGGCAAGTTAAATTCCTCTCGGTGAGCTAATATATCCTAACTCTATGTGCCTTTGTAATGTGATGGTTTAAGTGTTGGATAAGGCAATACAATATAGATGGAAATCTAGGTTCCTTCTACACTAACATATAACCCAGATTATCAAATCAGAAAATTTACATCATCTGCTTTGAACTGAATTCTATGGCAGCGTAGACTGCTATAGAATAGCAGTATAAAGCAGATAATCTGGATTTTATATGGCAGTGTATATGTCAGACATTGTTAACTTGCTCATCTTTCAACATGCTATGTCATCCTCTGATAGAACTTATAATCAAGTTTATTTTATGTGGTTAATGTTCTACCTATTGTTCATATGAATCAAGTTCAGTATATTCTGCATTACATTGTGATGTATGAGAAACAAAATGGAATCCAGTGTTTTATCATTCAAAGCTAATTCTACCAATCAGTTTCTTCTATGTGAAACAGAAACATGTATGTATTCTATATGCACATCATTGTAATAGTATAAGTGGTATAGATAATAGGAAATTATACAGCAATATACATCTGAAAGGTCCAGATCTCACTAGGCAGATCAACTGTTTTATCTTTTTCAGGGACAAATTTATATTCAGATAGGACTAAAATAACTTCATTGAGAGATAATGAAAAACAATTGTAATATAATATTTATTATATAGGTATCATGGAGAAAGAAAGACATATATGCAACAATGACAGATCCATTTCAAATCATAACATTAAATTGGATTTAATCATGAATTTAGTCATAGAGTTAAATACAGTCTTCTTTTTCCTGAAATCTTGCAAACTACCACCAATATTTAAATTTTAGTGGATGCTACTTAAAATAAGAGCTATTTTAGAGTCAATTCTTATTTACAAAAGGGGAACATGCAAATTATTAACATGTAAATAACTTAATCTTCTGTATTATATTTTCACAATTGTCAGCAATCCCCGAATTTAGAAAAAAAAATGTAACAGTCCAAGAACATTTTTACAAGGATTATTAAGCGTTAGCAGTCATAACAACCAGACAACTCATTTCAGAAGGTGAACAATACACCTAAATCTCTGAAGGCAGTATATGATGCCCAGGTCCAAAAATGTGAGATTTTAACATTCTTCATCTATAGCTTCTGCATTCACTTGATTCCAGCTGGGATGAGTGAGACACAACACTGTTGTAGTTTCTCTTCAGACTGTATAAATCTTTCGTCTTTTACAGTCTACTATGTTACAACCAGTAAATTCATTGATTATTTTTTACGACTGCTCTGATTATATTCAGAAGTTAGTTGTTATCTCTTACCCACTGTTCAATCCATTGTATAATCTGATCTAAATTCCGTTCCATGTCCTCTGGTGTATTACTTGTCAACTGATGTACAATTTCTTCCTTATATGAGGACATGGCCTCCTCATAAATAGTCTGAAAAATTTCACACTGAATATTGTCTTGCAGCTTTTTTCCTTTGTAACCCCTACAAAAAGATGAAAAAAAGCAATTAAATCAGGCTGGGGCACATCTAAGAGAAAATATTAAAACAAGTTTTATGTCTGTGCAAAAATAAAAATAGAAACTCCCACCAGAGAAAAGTTCTCTATTTTACCTGCCCTCCAATCTGTCATATAAGAATGAGTTTTCTGTGCGAAGCACAAATACAATGTTAAACCAACGTTCAGGAAAGAAGTCGCAACTGTGATAATCCACGATAACCCCACCTTCACTCATCTCATCTTCCATTTCATCAATTACCTAAGAGGGTAATCAGACAAAGAAAATTTGGCGATGGGTTCTTCACAACAAAACAAAGCACATAAATCCACTAAATTTTGGCTTAAACTCACTCTGTCTTCATCCAAAATTGGACATTCATATTCTTCATCAAAACCTTCATACAATTCCCCTGCAAAATTAGGAAAAAAACTGAGGCTCATTATTCTTTACCAAACTATTGAAAACAAATCTAAGACATTTGCTTGATCCAACAGCTCAAGCAAAAACTTTAATATCACTCAATAATATTTTTCTACCAGAAATGAGCCTTAGGAACTTCCACACAGTCATATAACCCAGAATTCTTAAATCAGAAAATCCCACAATATCTGCTTTGAACTGGGTTGTCTGAGTCCACACTAACATATATTCCAGTTCAAAGCAGAAAATGTGGGTTTTATTCAGCTGTATGGAAGGAGCCTTAAACTGCAATACTAAGAAAGCTTCCCACATTTACTTTCTACCTTAAGATATACAACATTTAGATCTTTCTGAGACTCATGAGAGTGACCCATGTATTTCTAATAGAGGCAGTTCTCTGCTAAAGCATAGTGAAGAGGGGCAGACCGTTGAATGACCCAAGATAAGGGAAGGAAATGCCTGCATTTAGAGTGATGGGTTTACATTAAGTAGCACACTAAAGCACAATCTTCTTGTGGATTATTTGGAGCTAATGCTTGCAGATCTACTTTCTCTGATACTGTGCAAGGAGGTATGCTGTACCTCTTTATATACTTTTCCTGACCAATGCAATGCATATGCCCACATCTCAAATATACATTCAGCACTATATTCAGAGTATAAGGTATTATATATTAAATTTACCTTCTTTGGCCAAATCTCCCACATTGATGTAAGTTAAACCTGTTCTTGAGGCTATCTCTTTGCATAGTGTAGTTTTCCCAACACCAGGAGTACCTACAAAGAAAGATTTAATAAGAAACTAATGTGAATTACTTACAGCTTACAACCAATCTTGAGACAAAAGTTGCTCTGAAAGATCAATGTAAAGAGTTAAAAACAAAAGCAACTGAAGGCTTCCCATTTGAAATATATACCACTTGGCCTCAAGAAGCTGACATCAGTTTAGTCCTCATGGTGCTGTGTGAAAAGCTTTAGGAGGAAAAAGCCCAGAAGATGCACTTGTAGAACAGAGATGCCACTTATTGGGCTACACCACTTTCAAATTGAAAGCAAATATATCTAATTTTGAAGAGACCTCTATATGTTAACAATTCCTAGTAAACTAAAAAGGCACATACAGGTAAAAGGAATTGTTCATTTGCTACTTTGCTAATGCTCCTAAAGCAGACATGAAAAACATCCAAATTAGAAATTCCACAATGCAATCTTTTTAACACATGCATGTTTTGACTAGATCTTAATTCTGAAGCACTGAAAGAAAGTAGGATACTAATCCGTGTGATGAATCAGGTGAAACAAACACAAATCATTTACACTGAACTAGGTCTTGGTTCACCCAACATAATGCCACCTGCTCTGGATGATGGTGGCAACAACTCTCTGAGGTTCTACAGAAGATTTTCTCTTTGGACTTCTAAAAAATCCTTAAACACACATACAGTAGAGTCTCGCTTACTCGACATAAACAGGCCGGCAGAACGTTGGATAAGTGAAAATGTTGGATAATAAGGAAGGATGAAGGAAAAGCCAATTAAACATCAAATTACATTATGATTTTACAAATTAAGCACCAAAACATTGGGACAGCTTAGAACACAATGAGCAAATACAATAAATTATATACAAAAATAAACACACATCAATTAATAAAAACAAAAATAATACAATATGAATATAAATGAATAATTTTAAAAGACCAAGAATGTATTAAAAAATATTATGCCGTTTAACCATCCAATCCTATTATTAGTGTCCAGATTAAAAGTATAGCCATAAAACCATTAAAATCCTGTCCTATAGGGTAGTTTTTCTTTCAGCAATTATTAAAAGCCTGAAAAATTAAGATGCATCTATATTGTAGAACTAATGAAGTTTTAAACCATTTTAACTAGCATGGCTCAATACTATGGAGCTGTGGGAGTTGTGATTTAGCGAAGCACCAGTCCTCTTTGGCAGAGAAAGCTAAAGACCTTGTGAACTTGAGCTTCCATGATTCCTTGGCATTGAGCCACGGCAATCAAAGTGGTGTCCTATTAATCCTACAATGTAGATCCACCCTTAGGGTACATTTACATGGGAGAATCAGTGCAATTTGACACTATTTTAAGTGTATGGCTGAATGCCAAGTAGTTTAAAAAGTTTTCAGCCATCTCCTAAATAGTGTTGGTGCCTCACCAAACTAGAAATCCCACAGGACTGAGGCATGGCCTTGAGTCGCCTCTGGCTGAGAAAGTGTGGTATACAAATGTAGTAAATTAAATAAATAAATAAATAAAGTGGTGTCAAACAGCATTAATTCTGTATTGTCAAAGGCTTTCATGGCTGGAATCACTGGGTTGTTGTACGTTTTTCGGGCTATATGGYCATGTTCTAGAAGCATTMTCTCCTGACGTTTCGCTTGGATCTATGGCAAGCATCCTCAGAGGTTGTGAGGTCTGWTGGAACTAGGAAAATTGGGTTTCTATATMTGTGGAATGTCCAGGGTGGGAAAAAGAACTATTCTCTGTTGGAGCTAGGCRTGACTGTTTCAATTGTCCACCTTGATTAGCATTTGATGGCCTRGCAGGTTTTTTTGGTGTGGCTTGTTAGTGCCTGGGGGAATCTTTTGTTGAGAGGCGATTAGCTGTCCCTGATTGTTTCCTCTCTGGAATTTCCCTGTGTTTGAGTGTTGTTTACTGTTATGATATTAATGTTATGGCTACCAGTATTAAAAACCAATTGAAATATTCACACCTAGCTCCACCAGACAAGAGTTCTTTCTCCCACCCTGGCCATTCCAGATATAGAAATCCAATTTTCCTAGTTCCAACAGACCTCACAATCTCTGAGGATGCCTGCCATAAATGCAGGCAAAAAGTCAGGAGAGAGTGTTTCTAGAATATGGCCATACAGCCCGAAAAACCTACAACAACCCAGCATTAATTCTACAAGGTAGATCAAGTATGGGCAAACTTGGGCCCTCCTTCTAGGTGTTTTGGATTTCAACTCCCACCATTCCTAACAGCCTCAGGCCCCGAAAAGAAAGGGGCCTGAGGCTGTTAGGAATGGTGGGAGTTGAAGTCCAAAACACCTGGAGGGAGGGCCCAAGTTTACCCAGACTTAATGTAGATGCATCCTTAGTTGRCTAGTGAATCTAGTCTCCCCTGTAGTGCAGAAACAACTCCATTGGAGTGCTTTCCCTCCATTCTCTTTGCATAGTGTAGTTTTCCCAACACCAGGAATACCTACAAAGAAAGATTTAATAAGAAACTCATGTGCATTATTGACTTATGGCGACAAGAAGGCGAACTGACTTACCCGTCATCAGAATGTTGGGCCTCCGCATGGCGGCTCATCGGCCTCTTCCTTCCAACAGTTCGGAAAGCGCTGCTCCAGAAAGCACGTGGCAACTTTCCTCGGGGTCCTTCATCATCGCTGCTCCAGTGGGCGCACACCGATGACGTCAGGGCTGCCTCTGTTTCGCCCTCCTCATCTTCCATATACAGATTGGCGAGAAGACGTTATATGTTTCCTACGACGGATATTTATATATTTTTAATAACTATATGTATAATGTTCCTTGTTGGTTTCGGAGAGCCTGAGATGAAAGTGCGGTCGGCGTATCAGGCGCACCGTGGACAGCTAAGCGCCAGTTTGTGTGGGAGGCCCCCGGCTGGAGTGGGAATGGAACCTCACAAGGGAGGGAGAGAGAGAGAGAGCGCAGAGGATAGGAAAGCGCCTGTTGTAGGAAGAGGCGGGGTGGCTTCCAGTGAGTGAAGTGGCCGTGCGATTCCGAGCATGTTTCTTCAGAAGTAAGTCCCCTTTGTTTATTCCTGTCGTCAATGGGAACAAAATACTGGGTGTGTTGAAGCGGATAGACTTTATAAAGCCAGGTGTTTTGGCCTACAACTCCCAGAAATCCCAGCCAGTTTACCAGCTGGGTTGCTGTAGGTTTTTTCCCGGCTGTATGGCCATGTTCAATCTACAGACATTCTCTCCTGACGTTTCGCCTGCATCTATGGCAAGCACCCTCAGAGGTTGTGAGGTCTCTCTTCCAATTCTAGGATTCTATGACTCTAAAAAGTATTTCTCTTTATCCAAGATCCACAATAACAATGGTTCAGTGACATCATATGATAGTAGCATAATGTGGGATGGCTTTTGCCCATTTGCAACATAAATATAGCACCTTAGATATGCATATGACACTACTTTGATGGCCGAAAGCGAGGAGCTGAGGAGCCTTCTAACCAAGGTGAACGAAGAAAGCACAAAAGCTGGGTTGCAGCTAAGCATTAAAAAAACCAATATTATGGCAACTGGACTGATTGATAACTGGCAAATAGAGGGCGAAAACGTAGAGGCAGTGACAGACTTTGTATTTCTAGGTGCAAAGATTACAGCAGACACAGAGTACAGCCAGAAAATCAGAAGACGCTTCCTTCTTGGGAGGAGAGCAATGTCCAATCTCGATAAAATAGTGAAGAGTAGAGACGTCACACTGGCAACCAAGATCCACATAGTCAAAGCAGTGGTATTCCCCATAGTCACCTACGGATGTGAGAGCTGGGCCATAAGGAAGGCTGAGCAAAGGAAGATAGATGCTTTTGAACTGTGGTGTTGGAGGAAAGTTCTGAGAGTGCCTTGGACCACGAGAAGATCCAACCAGTCCATAGAATAGACATTGCTAGGGTTCTAAATGCACCTTCCAAAGCGATGTTCTGTTTCACGGTGATCAACATCACAACCGTTTCAAGGATGTTACTCTCTCTGTTCTAGCCTTGAAGCCTTCACTTTATATGTCTGTAAGAGATATACTAAAAGCTGCTGAATAGTGGAGGAGGGGAATAATATAAACAACTGGGACAGATCCCTTTGGTGATTATTTTATGGTTGTTCTGTTTGGTTTAGAGCTCTACATGATTTAAGATTGAAATCCTGAAATTGTCTTTATTTCTCCTTTTAAAAGGACATATAATTTAGTGGGCTGCTGGTCCTGTACTTCGGATGGAAACTACAAAGGTTGATAATGTCAAAAACTTCTTCCAAAAGAAAGATAGCTCCCCCTAAAGTGAGTAACATATAAAGAGTTATGCCTATGTAATGAGTAATGGTTCCTTTTGATTTATTTGACTTGAGGCAAAGCACAATAATTTATTTTTTATTATAAACCTTAAAAATAGTGAGCTCTTGATATCCACTGGGATTTGGTTCCAGGCACCCCGTGGATACCAGAATTAGGTGATAGTAACGTCCAACTATAAATAATAGTATAGTGAAATGGTATTCCTTATATAAGATGGATTGGGGGGGGGGCATTTTCATGCCATGGGTGGTTGAATCCATGGATATGGAGGACCAGTTATAAATCTTTTAAAGCATGATAGTTTAAACATGAATTATTTGTTTCTGGACATTTTTAAACTCTTCAATTCAAAAAATGTTGCTGACTTTATACTTTGGAACCAATGTGAACGCAACGAAGACATTTCCATGATCATTAAGGGGAGTATTAAGATCTGGTTCTGTTTAGTGTGAAGACAAATAGTAGTAAAATATTAATTGGCTTAAGAGTGAATCTTTTTCCTATGTTATAATGTTGAATGCTTCTATTTTGTCAGGTAGCTGATTGGGTGGAGCCCTCTTTTAGTGACTTCTGTAAAAACACAAATACATTGTCTACCATTCTTCATAAAAAGACATCTGCAGATACCAGGCACTGCCAAAAGAGAAAGGAGCATTTTTCTCTATCAGACAGTTGCAAGAATGAGAAGAAAAAAAGGAAAGAACGTCCTACAGATGAGAGATGTAAACCTCCCAAACAACATCATGGTCAGATTGAAACATGGGTGGATAAATACAAACCCCAAAATCAGGTAGGGTAGTTTCTGGAATTCTCTTCATAAAAACAGCAAAACCAAGTATTGTTAAACAGCGGATCCAAAGGGAAAGTAGTGGAACCATCAGATTTATAAAGAGCTTTAGACAGACATCCCCCGTCAATAGCAGGGTGTGAAATATCTTTCTTGGTCAGAAGTATATTTGGAAGTCTGTTCACTTGAATTCACTGGAGCTCCTTTACAAATATGTTTACCAAAAATTGACTGCAAAATATTTGCAGGAAGGTAACAGTGCAGTCATGCCGGCCACATGACCTTGGAGGTGTCTACGGACAACACCGGTTCTTCAGCTTAGAAATGGAAATGAACACCAACACCAACCCCCAGAGTCAGACATGACTGGACTTAATGTCGGGGGAAAACCTTTATCTTTTAAACCTATATCTATTATTAAGTGACAGGCACAAAATATATGTTAGAACATGCATTCTATAGGATTTAATGTTACATTTTCTCCCTACATGAATATGTTAATTCTTTTTTTTAAAATTAGGATGAGCTTGCGGTACACAAAAAGAAAATTGAAGAAGTTGAAGCATGGCTAAAAAGCCACATATTTCAAAGACAGCCTAAACAGGTAGAATTTATTTATCTACCTGATAATCTGGATTTTTAAGGCTTTCGGTTACTTATATTGTAGTTGTTAAATGTGAAGCAGGACTTACTTGATAAAAAGTTCTTTGTAAAAAATTAAGTGAGCTGCGTTAACTGGGGAAGATAGAACAATTATAGCTTCTAATGAAGCCAGGTGTAGTTATAGGTAAGAGCTTTGATTCAATTGAATAAAGATAAGCACGAGTAGCAAATTTCTCTCATATGGCTTATTCTAATTGGTCTGATTTGGTGTAAGGAGAAAATAAAGTCAAGGAATAGCTCCTATGACACTGCTTTTAGCAGTGTCTAATGCATGAAGATAATGCAACAATAATTCCTGATAGGACTGACATGCTGTTCTAAAATGCCAATTTATGTGGATACTGTACTAAGATTCATTACTGCATGAGTAAGGCTGTACTAAGAATAGATATGGTTTGAAGTAACAAATGCTTTTAAAGATTTATCAAGAAGAAAATCATAAGACTTTATGATATCTTTTTATAATGGCTTAACAGAAACTATGGAAAATGCATAGAATAAGATAGTTATCACGGTTAAAAAGCGGTGCTAGATAGATTAATGTGTTAATTACTTCCAAACCTGTTAAAAGCGCTGAATAGAGAAATAAAGCTCCCTACGTAAGTCCTTTGAAAAGGAAACATTTGGACAGCCATATGATGCAGTGAAATGTATGATGCCTTCCATACAATAGAATGGAATGAAGCTTAAGAATCGAGACATTGGTATGTCTATATTTCTCCCTAAGAGGAATATATGTATATCTAGGAATGCTTAAAATAGATAGCCTAAAAGGGTACCTCATTTTCTCTCTAGATACCCTGAAATTCCAATTCTCAGGTGACACACTGATGTTATCTGGACCTGTTTGGTTGAACCACCATCATGTATTGGGCACTAAGGCAACCAGAAATTGGTAAAGGTGAACTGAGGCTTCTTCCACACAGCTGTATAAAATCCCACATTATCCAATTTGAACTGGATTATATGGCAGTATGGACTCAGATAACCCAGTTCAAAGCAGATGTTGTGGATTATCTGCCTTGATATTCTGGGTTATGTGGCTGCGTGGAAGGGCCCTGAAACCCAACAATTCATAATTAACAAACAAATGTCCAGGACCTTGAATCCTTCTGTTTAAGAGATAAAGGAGGGGAACCACACCTGTTTCATAACCCAGACTGTAGTTTACTGACACCTGGCTGGCACTGATAATAGTATACTGTTTGGTGCAGCTTGCCCCATCATGCTTTTGGGCATTTGTTTTCAGCATTTCATTTCTTATATCTGGTGAGGATTGTTTTGTGACTGTACATGACAAAAATTATTCAACATGCCCTGATTCTTTTTTTATTTTATCTACTGCTATAGAACTGTTGGCAATTTTAGTGTAAATAGTTGTAGGACCACACTCCAGGCTATTTCTTTGATGATTCAGCTCACTGTTCATTTTTCCGATCCCAATGCAAAGTAAAAATTGTAGTATACATTATCAAGCATCTTGTTTGTTAGATTTTTTTCTTGGTCCTTAATTTTGAAGTATACTTCAGTTGGTGTGTTTATCCAATAGGTTATTTATCTTCCAGGTAGATAACTGTAATGAAATATTGATTCATTGGTAGTGTGTGATTTGACAATGACTGTATTAACAGAAGGTGTAAAAAAAACTAATTCTTGATACCAAAATTACACTTTTTAAAAATATGGTGCCTATCTTGTTCAGTTTTTCCAATATTGTAATCTTGGTATGACTTGTTATAGGGAGGCTCTATTTTATTGTTAACTGGTCCCCCAGGATGTGGAAAGTCTGCAACTGTGGAAATACTAGCGAAGGACCTTGGTGTTCAAGTGCAAGAATGGACAACTCCTATATCGCTAGACTTTACAAAGGACAACTTTCCTTATGCTCTTAACCATGGTAAATATGTAGTTGAA